ACCTCCGGCCCCTCGGCCCCGCGGGCGACGTGCTGCTGAAGGCCGACCGGGTGGAGGCCGTCCTGGGGAGGCTGCTGCCTCACGGGCAGCTGCTCTTCCTGAACGACCAGTTTGCGGCGGGGCTGGAGAGGGAGTGGAGCGCCCATCTGGGCAAGTGAGAGGCAGGCTGCCCGCCCGGCCGTCTTCCGTCTTCCCCACGTCCGGGATGCCCAGCCAGTTCTCGGTGCTTCGTTCTGTTATTTGGTATGGTCGAGAAACGGATGGCTCGTGGGAGAGAAGAAATTGGCAGCGCGCAAAGGGTGCCTTACCCGACCGCTTTTCTAAGAAGCCCCCGCTTTGCTTGTAAAATACTAGGAAGCCTTTGGGTTGGGCTGTTTGTGTACGACCAGCATCTTCGTCAACTGTCCTGTTGGTATTTCCAAGAACTTTGTAAAATACACATTTGGGGCAAGAGTGGCTTTGTGTCCTGATTTCCAGGGAACGGTCCATCAGGGTCTCTTTCTTTGGAGGAGCAAAAAGTGTTTCTCCAAAGGCCATCTAATGCTGCATAGAAACTGCGTCATCCAAGGGCCATTGAAAATCTTTTCCATTCTCTTGCTCAGGAATAGGATATCCCGTCCGGGTTGACATGATCATCTGACTCAAGACCATTGCTGCTGGAACTAAATAATTTCTTAGAGAAGGATTAGCCACTTCTGAGGTCCGGAGAATAAACAAACTCCAGGCAGATGTTAATGTCCTGTGAAGGAATGGACCAAAGACAAATAGTAGGAGAGAATTGACAACTTTATCTTCTTCTCTTTTGAACATACACAAGAGAACACCAGAAAAGCCTCTCTGCTCCATCTTATAAAATGCCAGGAAGAGTTCTCTGTTAGCGTTTCTGCCCTGTGACCCATCTTGGCTGTGCTGGATTATGCTCCTCCTAACCTCGGGGGGCTCCAGCTGTTGATCAAACCACTTTGTAGCTCTCAGCTCCTCAGGAGAATGAGGAGGAGCCATTGCGGGGCTCAGTGAAGGATGCTTGGGAACAAGGGCCCTGGCCTTGTTAAAGCCGTCAAACTGACCCCCACGCTTTAAGAGACATAGCTGGCTCCAGCAGCAGTGGGTGCTTAATGCACGTGCCCCACCTCCGCCGGACTGCAGAGTGCAGAACAGGTTCGGTTTGGTCCTTGTCATCGGAGGTGTCTCTAACCGGGGTCACTGACCATCACTGTAGGTTCCGCCACAGGTGTTGGGCTAAGGGTGAGTTGAGCTCCATCCATTCCTTGCAGCAGTTGGCTCTCGCCACCACCTTCATTTTTTCCTTTCTCAATCCAGCCTATACCCCTGGGGTTTCTTAATTGTCCCCCCTTCCAATCCTAACCAGGTCCGACCCTGCGTAGCTTTTGGAGATCGGCAGAGGTCAGCTAGGGGCTGCTATGAAATGAGACAAGTCCTGGCTGTCAGACCCCATAATGTCAGCCCCATCAGTCAAAAATGATTCTTGCTGGTGATGGAAGGATAACCAAGTAGGGCTGGAGCGACGGAAGCATTGAGAAAGCGCTGAAGGTATTGTGGAGACGTGGGTGGAATTGTTCAGAGCAAAGATGGATGGTCTGACCAGCTGGGCCAGTTCAGTAACCTGAGAGGGATCCGGTGTCTATGATGTTAAACGTTCACCTGCCTTTGTGAATGGAGAACGTCCCTCTCTTGCCAAGCGCACATCCTAGGATAACCATGAAACAATGTGTTTGTCTTCCAGCATGCTTCCTAAAAACAGGTCCCACGTGCTCTTTTTGGCAGAGGAGCCAAGATCTCTGTCTTTGTAATGATGTGGCTTTTCGAGCAGTTTTGCTCTTTGGAACATGGACCTTTAGATGATTTCCAAACTGGAATGTGGCCTCCCAACTGACTGGCGTCCCATCTTGGCCTGGGGCTTTATTCCAAGGTGGTTCCTGAATGCCAGTAAAAACAGGGCATAAAAATCATTTTAAAAATTGGGATGGATGCAGCCTGCAAGGGGTGTGTGGTGTGGTTCTCTTCCTTCTCCCTTGGCGCAGTAATTAGGGTACCACCAGGGAAGGAACATTATATGAAGATTAATCCCTTTGTCCCATCTGCTGGGACACGTTTTCAGCAAAAATCACCTCCCAGCTGCTGTTCAGCCTGCAAAATCTTCCCGGCTGGTTCAGCCTTCCTCACTCCTAATTCCTGCATGAGGAAGATCCATGCATGGATGCAGTTGTCTGAATTAATGCAACAATGTGTGTGTTGCTTTGTCTCAAAAAGGTGCATTATGTGTGCAAACGACAATGGGAGATGTTGGGCCAAAGGAATGTCTGTCTTTTGCTGGATGTGACCAGGGAGAAACGGCACTTTCCTTCTGTTTGCAGCAAAAGGAAAGTGACTGATGTCCATGATATCACTAGGACACTTTAGAAAATGCATCTGTTTTTAAAAAATGATTTAAAAGGTGAACATACAAACCAAGAATGGCCCGGGGGTTGAGAGACAACTGTGAGCTGTGTTGGTTCACATCTCATGCCAGAGATTCTCCGTCGGTGACCACAGAGGCGGGGAAAGCCGAAATGCCGGTGAGATCCCTACAGAGTCTTCTCCTTAGAGGTCCCGCAATGGTTACCAAATGAGGTGGCCTTGTCCCACTTCGGCAGAAGGAGCCAAAGGACCAGCCTGTGTCCTCCTCCCCCTGCCCCATGATGTCACAATCTCATTTTCCCTTCACCTGCAGGTGTGCTGAGGATTATGAATACTTTGCTGAGGACCCCCAGCAGCCAATCAGCAAGCAGCTGGAGTCACAGGGCTGGTGGGTGCCCCCAGCAAGGAGGACCTGGAAGACCAAGTAGGCAGGAGAAAGGGGGGGGGGAGCAATGAAAGACCCCATTAAAAACTTGCCCAAGATTCAGCACACACAGGAGAAGAATAGACATAACTGAACAATAGTTTTGGACGTTTAACAGGAATCACAAGTAGCAGGTACAGGGTTGTGGTTGTTTTTTAAATTATATCTTATTTCCAAGTGTTTTGACTTGTGAGGTGTCTTGAATGATTTCGTCATTAAAAAACAGCCTTCCAGCTTAAACCCCAACAAAATCAGATAAGACATGGTAGCCTCGACCCCTGCGTTTTTTTGGTTGTTTAATGGAAACGGGCAGCCTTGAGTTCATTCTTGGTTGCTCCCGAGCCTGGCGTCTCCAGTCTCTGTGCCTTGCTCAGCCCTCCAAGACCAGCCCTGGATGAGTGAGCTGCCTGGATCTGCCTCATCAAGGTCTGATGAGATCTCCCTGGGGCCTACCCCACCAACTTTGCTCCCTGGATTTGCCTAGGAGCAGCCAGCAGGACTCGGGAGGTCCCGGCCCATGGTCCTCCCATTTTGTCTGTCTGAAGGTGGACCCTTGGGACCGAAGGGAGGCTCTGCTGGTGTCTCGTCCCTGGGCTGCTCCGGGGTGTCTTCAGCAGACTCCGGGGCTGCCCTGTTGGGACCTGGCCGCATCCAGCGGGTGGCATCTTCCTCTGTGGCGGGGAAGGTTGAGGGTGGGGGAAACGTCGGATAGCTCTCAGAGCGTGGACGAAGCACTCGCTGCTGGAGTTTAGGTTCGCTGAGCTGTGATGTCCCTGAGTTGTATCGGAGGAGCTTCCTACCCCCTCCCACTTCCCCTATGGAATGGGGATATCGGTATCAGGGATGTTCACGAGAGTTGAGGGTCAAAAAAGTCAAGATGGCAGCCGCAACTGTGCTCAGAGCCCTGCTCCTTTCTCTGGCGTGTCACCTGTTCAGTGTAGGTAAAAGGCACAGAGGTTTCGGTGCACGGTTCCGGTCGTCATCTTTCGACCCCAAGGGGCACAACAGGCATACGCAAAATTAAAAAACGCATTAAATGCAATAGGAACCCCCCAAATAGGACGGAATAACGAAACACGAAAATAAGGAAGGGTGGCTGCAGGTAGCCGAGCAGCCCCGGTGAGGCGGGGGGGGGGGGTACAGGCGGACCCAAATTGTAGTTGCGGAGCCGCTGCGCGGTTTCCGGTTTT